GGATGAGAAAACTGTGTCAGAATCCATGGTTACATGTAAGTATTCTTCTCCCTTCCAGCTCTGCTGACTAACACACACACACACGCACACATACACTTAGTGTGAGATCTTCCCTTGACCAGAAGGTTGGGACCATTGTCTAAGAATCCTTTTAGAATCTTGATAATCCTAACTTTGTCATGACTCAAGGGTGAAAACCAATGGTGTAGGAAACTCCAGATCTGGGAAGTAACATGCAATGTTATAAAGTCTTCAAAAGGTGCCTTCTCAAATGCCACAGGATTCCTGTTACCTAACCCACAGGAATCAGACTCAGGTACACATGTGGGGTGTTTGTGTCACCTTCGTTCCTTGAGAATCATTGCTTTTGGGAGCAGAGATGTTAAATGGGGGTATACCAAGGGGAATGACAGGCGAAGAATCTCTATACTAAATAAATATTAAAACAGAGATTAGCAATCTCTAAAATTGATTAGCAGTATCTCTGTTACATCTTATGCCTGAAATGTCCCCCTAAAGACCATGTGTTAATTAATCATCTCTGACTTTTCAAGAAAATGGGGTTTCTATTGAGTCTTACTCAGAGAACTCATTATCTACAGTATGGGGTCGATGGCTGGAAGTAAGCTCCAGGGATAAATTGTCTCCAGCAGTAGACAATGTGGGATGGTGGCTCTGACAAGATGGCTCAGTGGATAAAGGTGCTTGCTGCCAAACCTGACAACCTGAGTTTGATCCCTGGGACCTACATGGTGGAAAAAGAGAGGTCACTTCCCCAAATTTTTCTGATTTTCACACATACACCATAACATGCTCATGCCCAAATAAACAAAATGAAATATTAAAAATAGGCTGAAGGGGGCAGGGGCAAAAAGCAAAAGAAGGAAGGTTCAGTGTCTATGCAATCATCCGTGTGTCCATGTCTGCTTGCCCTATGTGTGTAGCTTATTTTGCACCTCATAGAAACCTGTCTACAGCTTCAAATGTTTATCTCGAAGATATATCTTCTTTAGCAAAGGTGAAGAGACTTGGGGAAGGAAGACCAAGAGAGAGGCGACCAAGAAATCTCAGGGCTGAAATGGCAGGGTCACATAGGAATGAGAAGCTGGGGAAGCCTTGAGCTGGCAAAGTTTAGGGTTGGGGTGGGGTGAGAAGAGCCACGGGCATGGGTGCATCTGGAGACCAACATGTGCTTTGGCACCACAGATAGCCATGTGATAGAGATGAGGAAATGTTTCTTTTGGTAGTAGGGAAACCTGCATGGCAGTATTTGGAGATGTTTCCTTTGAACCTAACACCCAGTTAGTATGTAGTCCAAGCAGTGTGTAGCATGAAATTCTGAAATCAGCTTTGAATAGAGGTAACCAATCGATGACCAAAGAATCACCACAATTTCTAAAGGCAGTGCTACCTTGAAATCTGGCCTATTTTCTATAAAGCATCAAATGAATTAATTTTCTTTGAAAGCTGAGAAGACCTGGTAACATTAGGTCCACATAGCAACACAAAGCTAGAACTAAGGACAAATGACTTCATTAGATGGAGAATGGCCTCTCCTGACCTGCTTCACCCTTTAGCATCCCCAACCAACATACACACACACACACACACACACACACACACACACACACACACACACACACGCTCTCGCCCACTCCTGGCCATAAATTACACATCTAGTCTTTGTTCTTCTTGGACCTTAACCTCTTGTTCGCCACCTACCTGGTTTCTACCTGGAGTCAATTGCTGATGCTCATGCTCACTCCTTCTCAGAATCCAGCCTTCCTTAAGTAGGAGAGTGGATACCTACCCTATCTCCAATGATAGAGCCAGTGTTCCAGTGAAGAGCAAGATTATGTAAAACAGTGATTCTCCACCTTCCTAATGCTGCAACCCGTTAAAATGGTTCCTCTGGCTGTGCTGACCCCAACATAAAATTGTTTTCATTGCATTTTGCCACTGTTATGAATCATAATGTAAACATCTTCAGTGACCCCTGTGAAAGGGTCATTCCGTCCCCAAAGGGATCATGACCCATAGGTTGAGAATCACTAGTCTAAAAGCTGACATGGAACAGGAAACTACAAGATTTCTAGGGAGCCAAACCCAACCATACCAACCAAGTTCAACATGTTAGAGACACCAAATACTCCTTTTGCAGTGGGTTACTGAATAGCTAGTTGATCTCTTAAACTAACTCTAACTTCCTATACAATATAATGGAAGCTAATGTTATGATAAAGTGTGAGGGGGACCTTGGTGGATTCCATGGCAGGCAAGGTTGACTGAAGAGGGGGACAAACATGCCAGAGCTTAGTGGCTTAGTGAGAAGTTTTATCAGAAAGGAAAGGGAAGTGGGAAGGAAAGAGATAAGTGGTAAAGAGGCACAGAGACGGGGGGGGGGGGGGGGGGCGCGGGGGGGAGAGGGGGCTGTCTGCCCCAGGGGAACAGCAGGAAAGAGAGGAGCAGGAAAGAAATGAGAGGGAAAGAGAGGAGCTTGCTGCAGACTCCCAGAGCTGTCTTTGTATATATGTCACAGTTGAGGTTTTTCACCTTAGAAACTGGAACCAACTGGATATCAAAGCCATTTGCTGTTAACCTACTTGGGACAGTCCCATCGGTGGTTAATAAAGACTTCATTCTACTTATTCAGACATCTTGGAGTTTTTCTCTTTGTGTACCCCATAACATTTTACACACACACACACACACACACACACACACACACACACACACACACACACACACACAAACACGCCCACGCCCATTCATCAGTCAGTTTGTAACTTCTAGATCCAGAAAATGGGGCTGGAGTACAAAAGAACAATCCTGCCCCCTCCCAAAAAATTATATAAGATACAAAACATTTTAAAATATCTCCTCACTACATAGTACATACATGCTTGGGTACATTTGGATATGCCATAAGTGTGTGTGTGTGTGTGTGTGTGTGTGTGTGTGTGTGTGTGTGTGTGTGTGTGTGTGTGTCAATTAAAATTTGTTTTGTTTCCTTTTATTTTGGGGCACTATTTAGCTAAGTGGCTGGCCTGGAACATGCTGCAAGGAACAGGCTGTTCTCAAATGTATGCTGATCCTGTTGTCTCTGCAGCCAGGTGCTGTCATCAAGCTGTATGCCATCATGTCTAGTTTCAAATTGTTTTAAAGGTGATGTTCACTGAAGGTCTCTGTACTTCTCAGCTTCCTTTGCTCAGTGGGACAATCTAGAAACCCACAGAGAAGGTTAGGGCCCAAAACATAATCCATGCAGGAGTTTCCAAAAGCACAGCCTACGGACAAAGACACTTCTGTACAAAATGTTAAATGACAAGCAAAAAGTTGGTAGCTGAATTCTAATAGAGTATAATGTCAAAGAAACACATGAGGAAAAGCTAGAGCTGAGAAGATTGAAAAAGAACCAAACTGTTACACAAGAAGAAAAGCTATATCTGAGAATATTAAAAAAGGACATAATTGTTTGTTGCTAACGGGGTGTAGTGACGTGTGCCTGTGATCCCAGCACTCAGGATGCAGATGTAAGAGGATTGCTTCAAGTTTTAGAGCAACCGGGGCTACACAGGAAGCACCAGACCAGGCCCGCTACAATGTAGCAAGACGCTGTGTCAGAAAAACAAATGACACAAAAGAATTGTTTCTTTCTAACTACAAGGATGTAAACTCCCACATAATCCTTTAAGTAAATCTGTTCACTATCTGGTATGTCTCAATCTGTCTTACAGGGATTTTGTTCGTGAGCTCGTAATGGTCTGAACATTGTAACACGGGTTTAATCATATATACACTAATTCACTCAAAGTCATTAGAAGGCCTAAAGGACTCCAGCCTAGGAGTCACGATGACGTATGTGAAAGAGCCATCTCATACTTTCCACGTTAACAAACGCTTTTCTGTTGCATCTGACTAACGGGATTGCCTAGTGTAATGCTGCTGACTCATATGACAGAGGCAAGCCTCCTGCTGAATCAAGTTCTTACGAAACTCAGGCCCTGGAGACCCAGGTTCTCCCAGGAGCGCCAAAGTCTTCCCAAGTCTCTGCTGTTCCTCATAGGACACTGTGTCTGCCTCCCTTCCCTCTGAACTGCTGTAAATGTGTGGGAGGAGGGTGCCTGCAACCAGCTTTCTACATAGCAGTTCAGTCACCAATACAAAAGGGGATAAGTGAATCATGAATTTGTCGACAGAATAAAAAAAATAAAAAATTGGAACTTGTCAAATGTTTAAAATACTCCTTTCACAGAAGTGCAAATGAGCATGGGCCTCCTGAATAACGATTCAAGATGAGGTAGAAGGAGCATGATTTAGAAACAAGTCCAGCCAAATTCTCAGATGGTCTGGAAGCCTTTGGGAATTCATGAAACAGATTCAACTATGACCCAAGGCTTTATCTACCACTACACGAGCAGGGTGGGGTTGGAAATGAAGAAAGATCTCCAGCCCACAGATGAGGATGAAAGAAATTCCATTCAGGATTTGAAATTTGCTGAAGGCAACAGCCAGTCTGTTGATCTGCACAATGAATCAGGACTGTGGCTGACTTCAAATCCGGGTACTGTCCTGTCTCTGCTTTGAGAGAGTTTGCTAAGAGCGCTGCTGCGAGCCACCACCTTAGGGAAGGAAGCCAGCCATACAGAAGGCAAAATTCACTCAAATATTTGGCTTCAGTTAGAACAAAAATAACCCTTCTCTTTAAAGAAACTGATGCCGTAGAGACTTGATGATGTTCTAGGAAATGAAATGAGATAATGTTTTCAAAATAGCCGTTCTTATCACAGCATTGTGTGCTCCATGAGCAGTACTGACACTGAAGCAAGGAAAGGTGTCAGGACATAAAAAAATTAATAATAACCAGTAATGCTTCCCGTTCTCTAAAGAAAATAACACATATTTATATGTGTTTATATGTCTATAGACGCTCCTGTCTTCATCTGCGTGATATTAATTGTTATAATTTAAAAACGGCAGGAGAGAGAGACACTACAAGACAGGGTTCACAGTGAGAGTTTATTGGGGGAGGGGAGTGGGGAAAGTGGAGTAGGGGAAACCTGCCTCTGAAGATGGGAACGGAGGAAGAGAAGAGACAGGAGGCGGGTGGGGCCACCTTTTGTGAGGGGATGCATTTGTTGTAGTGGCCAGATGACGTTGTCAGGACCCTGAGCAGGCCAGAGTACTGCCTGAGTACTGGCAAGCACAGATGAGCAGGGATGACGCGTCCTGCCAGGTCCCCAAGGGGCAGGCCAGCATAATGCCTGAATGCTAACATTTATTACTTAGTTCTTTAACCATCATCACGACCTTACCGCACCTGCGGCACTGATTTCTCAGAAGCGATAAATTGTCTTACTGATCGTCAATGCATGCCATTGCACACAGATGGCCCCGAGACCCCATCGCTGTGTGCTGAAAAAAAAAAAAAAAATATTACCAAACATCCGGTTCTCTGAATGGTAGGAAATAGCAGCTAGTCAAAGCGACATGGTGACACGGGATACTATATCTATGCCATAGAAATGCCTTTTCCATTGCAAAACATCTGTGAGTTGATACTGTGACGTTTCTGGAATTTACACAACTGCCTCTGAAAAGGCCTGCTCAATGTCAAGTAATTATGCCCCAAGTTTTCAATTAAAAGTAGTCTCCGCCTTCCTCACTCTGGCCCGGATACCCTTGCCCCATATGTATTCACTGCCCATCTAAGTTCAAGGTTGAACTCGCATATTATTCCTACATGGGACATTCCTTGCCCCGTTGGTGGTACCAGGGACAGTGATCAAGTCTTTGAAGTCTCATAGCGTTTATGCCCAGCCTCTCGTGTGCTGTCAATCGCTTTGTTTCACAGCTGTTTTCTAGTTATTTACACTGGGATCTATCCCTCCACCCCACTAGTTAACAGTGGGATGGGTTTCTCCCTGCTTACCTGAAGGTGCCTCACCCAGTACCTTGCTTGCAGGTCTGTAGTAAGCAGTGTTTTGCATTGCTAAACAGGAAGCTACACGCAAATCTTCACCTGCAAAATGAAAAGGCAGCTTGCTCTTCTAGCTGGTGCAGCCATGACCTGGGGAGCCATGGCTCAGGTTATCTCAGATCAGCAGAGAGTGGGTGAGATGGTGAGTATGGCCTATTGAGAAGAATGTTTGTTTGTTTGTTTGTTTGTTTGTGACCCATTGTGGGGGGGTGCCTAATGGGGAGAGGTCAGAAGACTTCCTAAAAGAGGTGACCCTGACCCAAGGCTCATTGATTGACTTAGAGAGAAGGAAGGACATTCTTATTAAAAAGGCCAGCATCCACACACATTTAGAGGTTTAAAAAAAAAAAAAAAAACTTCCTTTTTTTTTTGGAAATATAGGAGTTAGAAGACAAAGTATGAGGTGAGGACTGATAGAAAGAAGCAGCTGGGAAGGCAGGGCCCTGGCCAACACAAATTTATCCATTAGCACCAAGTTCCTTTATGCTCTTGAAGGAACAGCGTTATGCGAGGGTGCCAGTTACAGTGATATGAGTATGTGGTTGGTAGTGTGGGAAAGAATCAGTGGGCGCTGGACAGGGGGCTGAATGACCTGTGTGGCTATGGCAGTGTTCCCTGAGATTGACAGAGATAACCATCCAGACACAGTTTATGGCCAATTGAAAGTCTATTTCCAGCAGGCTGGGACCACACCTAAGTGTGGTGGCCCCAAGAGTGTCCAGAACACGGGAGTTTTAAAGGCAGAGAGACCTCATCTAAGCGTCTCTCACTTGGCCAATGCCGCAGGGAGTGAGGAGGCTTCACAAACAGTTTGAAGCAAGCAGTTTGAACAGAAACTAAGATAAGCAGTTAGCCAGCTAGCCGAGGGGCATTCCCTGCACAAACAGGTAGCTAAGATAAATAGTTGTCGGGAAGAGGTTCCACACAAACAAGCAGTTTTAACAAATGCTATGTATATGGTAAGTTAGCTAGGACATCTTGATCTTTGGTTTCTAGACTAGAGTTGGGTAGTTGGGATTTTCCTTCAAGGAGATCAGATTCTAGTTAAGCCTGGACTGGTCTCAGCAAGAATACAAGCTGGAGGGACCTTTGCAGTGTCTTGCCCTGTCACAGCAGCATTCCATATACCCCGTGTAAAACATGAAGAGCTTGGGGTAGGAAGATGAGTATCACTTGGTGATTTGTGAGAGGAAAGAGAACGGGGAAGGAAGAGATAATCGCAGAGATAGGCCATCGGAAAGCACAGGACACTTACATGCTGAGATATCCATCAAGTACATACACTATCTGAGGAGCACAGCACCTGTCCCATAGGCATTCAGCTAACACAGGCCCAGATTTATGTCAGAAGAGAGATTTCAGAGCCAGAGATTGGTAAAAATAGATGAGATCATCCAGGGAGGGTCTGCAGAAATCAGGAAACATTTAAATATGAAAGCAAGGGCTGGAGAGATGGCACAGTGTTTATCCTTGATGCTCTTGAAGAAGACCTGAATTTTGTCCCCAGCACCCCCTATAGAGGCTCACGGTTGTCTGTCATTCCAATTTCATGGGGATCCAACTCTGTCTTTCTGGCTTCTGAGGACATGAGACATTAACATACATGCAGGCGAACACTCATATACATAAAGTAATTTTTTAAACAAAAAGTTGAAATTCCAATCAAAAAGAAAGATGGAGAACCAGGAAAAGACCATCTCATGAAAGCTGGAGAATGTCCCAAAGCAACAGGAACCCTGGGAATATATCTCAGTGGCAGAGAGCTCACCTCCTGCCTCTTGGCCCTGGGCTTCACCACCACTCTCTTATGCCAGGGAGATAGGAAGTGAGATAAAGGCTCCAACAACAGCCATGGCATTTAGCGAGAGAGGGTTTGACCTTGGAAAACAAAACACTGAGAAGTGATAGAAACTGGAGCCAGCAGTGAGTTAAAAGAGTGGGAAAAAAAAATGAAGGTAGAGACCTTTTCAGAAGCTGAACTTTGAGAACAACATGGGAGATGAAAGCAAAATGAAACGCTTGCCTGAAAGAAGTTTGGGAGTTGGTGTGTGTTATTTGGCTGGTTGGTTTGTTTTTACAGTTGACAGAGCCTTGAACATGTTTATATACTGAGATGAAAACAGTCAGGGAGAAACTAAGGACACTGGAAAAAGACTAAAAACAGGAGGGCATTCACTGAGGAGGCAACCAAGGAGGGACTAGTGAAGAATTACCTTGAGAGAGAGAAGAGACGGTGTTGCTAGGAGACCAGCAGAGGCGGGGATAATGGTTACAGATACTAATAGCTTTAAAGACAAGAGGGCAGAATGACACAGGACTTCTCCCCCAAATCCTGCTTCCCTAACAGGACCCAGAGAAGCTAGCTATACTAAAACAAAAGGAAGGGGATATTTACATCCAAAGAGGGTTACTAAACATGTTAGACTATTACAATGCACGGATCTGATTCAAGCAAAAAGCCAAAAGGCAAGCAGGGGAGTATGTAAGCTACCTGTCTAATGGCAATGGGAGATGATTATTAACTTTTTGCTATGTAATGCTATTGTGGTTGACTTTTAAGCATCATAATAATGCAGGCAGTGTATAATGTCGACAGATAAAATAATACAATATACTGGGCTTACTTTTAAGATAATTGGTGTGAGCTAAACACTGAGCTGAACTCCTGGAATCCAGTTGCAGAGAGAGAGGAGAGATGAGCAAAGGAGTCAAGACCAGGCTGGAAAAACCCACAGAAACAGATGTCCTGAACAAGGGGGATCTCTTGGACTCCAGACTGATTGCTGGGAAACCAGCATAGGACTGATCCAGACCCCCTGAACATGGGTGTCAGTGAGGAGGCCCGGGCAATCTACGGGACCTCTGTTAGTGGATCAGTATTTATCCCTAGTATACAAATAGACTTGGGAGCCCATTCCACACAGAGGGATACTCTCTCAGCCTAGACACATAGGGGAGGGCCTGGCCCTGTTCCAAATGATATGACAGACTTTGAAGATCCCCCATAGAAGGCCTCAACCTCCCTGGGGAGCAAAATGGGAGTGGGATAGGGAGTTGATAGGGGCAGGGGAAGAGGGGAGGTAGAGGGAGCTGGGATTGACATGTAAAACAAGTCTGTTTCTAATTTAAATTAAAAAAATTGGTGTGAAAAGGAAAGGTAGGTGAAACAAGACAGAGCATAGGCTAAGAGCTAGAGAAGGATGTCTATGAATATATCCCTTGTGGTGGTTTTATGTATGTTTGGATTTTTCCATACTAAAAAAATGTTAAGTCCTACCCCCTCCATAAAAAAAGGTGATTATAGAAAAGGTTTATATATGGTTATATGAAAAGGTGACTAGGTAGCTAACATCAAAGACAATGAAGCTGTGACAAAGTTGAATGACCTTTTATCTAATAGCACCTAGAGAGAAGCCTTGACGTGGCACTACGGAAGTTACACTGGGGCAAAGGTAAGAATCTGGAAGGCTGTGACAGCCAAGGTGCAAGGGATTACACGTAAACTGGAGAAAAACTGAAATGTTAGATCATGACCCTGCCTAGGCTAGATGGACAGGTCAGGGTGGGGGAACCATAGAAGTTACTGATAGACACAGAGAAAAAGAAATGGAAGTCTCAAAGAAAATGCAGGACTAAAAGTCAGAATGAGAAATCTGGAAGGATGGGAAGCAGAGTTAGGAAACTAGTCTCTGGACTTGAAGCTTTTGATTCTGCACCATGGCAAGGTCAGGTAGAGCTGCTTACAGTTGCTAAGTTACCTGCTGATAATGGTTATCTACAAAGTACCAGGAATGGAAGTAAAAGTCAAATGGAACCAAGAAAGTGACAGTGCTGGAAAGATGACGACTCAGCAGTTAAGAACATGTATTGGTCTTCCAGAGGACCTAGGTTCAATTCCCAGTACTCATGTCAGGTAGTTGAGCTAACTATAACTATAGCTCCAGGGGATCCAACACCTGTAGATTCCATGCCCCCTCACCACACACACACTTAAATAAATTAAACAGAAAGTTAGTTATGAAGGCCAACAAAATAGCTCAGTGCCTACCACTAACTAAGGACTTGAGTTCAGTCCCTGAAACCCATGTGATAGAAGAACCAATTCCTGCAAGTTGTTCTAGGACCTCAACACACACACACACACACACACACACACACACACACACACACACACACACACACACGTATGCATACATGCACTACATGTTAAAAATATTAAAGATATGTTGCAAAAATCTGATACTTGGATGCTATGTGGGTTCTTAAGGAACCCTAAAATTTCCAAGTGTGACAGGGCAAGACAGTAAAAAAGTTCTTCCATCTTGTATTCCTGCTGGGACCATTTTAGCCTGACTACCATATAGTCTCCACATTTCCACTCATTACTAGTTAGTGGGTTAGGCAAGAGAGAAGAAAAAGGGATGGGGAAAACACACGCATGAACATGTGGCAAAGTAGGATTCAGAAAGCAAAAGAAACATTAAAGCAATACAAGTAAAAATCTAAAAAAAACAAAAAACAAAAAAACTCAATAGTCCTTGCTACCTAAACCAATGTACAAGCCTGACTGCACTAATGACTAGTGCATAGTCTGAGAGATACTAAAAGAGCTGGGAGAATAAGAGACTGCTTTTGTAAAATGGCAGCGGTGCACTCCTTTAATCCCAGCACTTGGGAGGCAGAGGCAGGAGGATCTCTATGAGTTCAAGTCCAGCCTGGTCTACACATCAAGTTCCAGGACAGCCAAGGCTATGCAGAGAAACCCTGTCTGGACAAAATCAAAAATAAAATAAAAGAAGGAGACTGTTTGCTTAGCATTCTGCCTGGGTGCTGCTCTGCTGGAAAGACTGTCCAGGTGTGAGTGGAAGACATTTTAGCTGGCATTAGCCTCAGGTCACTTCTGGTTCAGAAGCCAGCAGCAGGGCAGGAAACTCCAACTGAAGGAATCCAGTTAGTGGCAGCTAAAAGGAATGAACTCCTCCCTCTGCTTCTGGTTCATACTGCTGGAAACATAAATCATCACCGTTCTTTGTTGTTTCCTT